GTACCAAAAGGTAATCCAGCCCGGAGATCTGCTGGTGCAGTTCTTTGGCGCAGGTAGCCTGCCCCTCAATGGTGCGGATGGCATTATAGGGCGGTATGAAAACGGCCCCGGTTTCATCCTGCACTTTTCGGAGCGTGCTTTCGCGCGCTTCCAGGGTAGGCGTGCATTCTACTACGGTGGCACCGTAGGCTTTTACGGCATTCTTTTTTACCTGCGGGGCATTGGAGGGCATCACAATCCAGGCGGGCACGCCTGCCTCACGGGCGGCCCAGGCCAGCGACTGCCCGTGGTTGCCGGAGGAATGGGTGGCTACGCCTCTTTGCTTTTCATCTGCACTAAGCTGCAACACCGAATTGGTGGCTCCGCGCACCTTAAAGGAGCCGGTTTTCTGGAAGTTCTCACATTTAAAAAAGAGTTCTGCACCGCTCAATTTATTGAGGTAAGCACTGGTAAGCACGGGTGTTTGATGGATATATGGATCAATGCGGGACGCGGCCGCTTCAATAGCATCGTATGTAATCATGGGCTAAATATCGTAGACGGGCTTACCGGCACCGGGCAGGATAAGCGGAACAAACTTAGGCTTTTTCTCCAGCTGGATGAGCAGTTCATCCTTCTCGCATTGGAGGGTTTTCATCTTCAGTACCTTATAGCCCTTCTTGAAAATGCTCACCTTTAATTCATCGGAACGTACGTAGGGAGCTTCATAGCTGAGGTTAAAACTACCCTGTCCATCGGTTTCAATGGAGTGGATCACCTGCCCGTTGCGCTCAATGCTGATCACCACCCCCGGAAGAACGTTGCCGGAGTTCTGATCGGTTACCGTACCCTGAATGGAAATAGGGGTTTTGCTACCGTTGGCCAGGGCCGAAAGGGAGAGCAAAAAACAGGCGGTCAGTATGGCAATGGGTCTAAGCATCTGAACTCAAAGGTACTATCTTTTCTGAAAACGGTATTTCCGGATTAAAAATTTCTTCCAGTAAACTCCGCAGGAAGCTTTCAAACGCTTCCATCAGGCTTCGGCTCACGCCACTTTCTTTATTGAAGAACAGGGGTAACGGGCCATCTTTTACATTACGCAGGCTGATAATACAGGGCTCTACGTGCTCCACTCCGGGATTGTTCTTCAGGAAGAGATATGCATAAGTCATCAATTGTAAAGACTTGTTTTTCGTTTCCGGTTGCCTGAGCTCGTCCATGGTATAGAACTTCAGGTCGCGGGCTTCCACGCCTCCGCTCTTGTAATCCGTTACACGGACCTCCCGGTTCCAGCGGTCAATACGGTCCGCAATACCACGCATTTTTACCACTTGTCCGCTGCTTAACGTGAGGTGGGCCGTCAGTTCTTTTTCCAGGGCTATGATCTCTACGTGTTCTCCCCGTTCTTCAGCTGCTTTAAGTTGCATTTTCTCGCTGTTCAAAAAGTTGCGCAGCATACTGGTAAGCGCTTCGCGGATCAGCAGATTCTTGCCTTTATTGAGTTCGGGCAAACCCATTTCCCGCAGGCGTTTCACCACTTCTTTGCGCAATTCTGCTTCCTTACGCTGGAAGGCGGGTAGCTCAGTGTTCAGCTTTTGTACCGGCCCCTGTGCACGGTCTTCATTCTCAGAATAATAATCTTCCAGTATCTCGTGCAGCACAGAACCCTGGGTGTTGTACCCGATCACCTCTTCCACCTCATCGGCATCGTCAATACCCAATACTCTGCGATAATAAAAATGGAGGGGATTGTTCACGTAATCAATGAGTGCGGTGGGTGATATGCCCCTGCTCGCCATTTGCCTGAGCCGCTCCATAACAGCCTCGCTCTTTTCCACCACCTTTTCCTTTTCGCGCTCCAGGCGTACCCGGCCTGAAATGGTTTGGCGCTCCCACTGAATGTTGGGGTTCATACGGATCAGTTCGTATTCCAGCTGCGCTATAAAACGGCTGGGCTCTCCTCCTCCCAAACCACTGTTCTGACTGTTGTAAATGAGAGTAATATTCTCAGCCCTTTGCAGCAGGCGGTAAAAGTGATAGGCAAAAATGGCGTCCTTATCCAGGTAGGTGGGCAGGCCAAATTTGGTTTTGATATCAAAGGGAATAAAACTGTTCTGGCTGCGCCCTTTGGGTAGTATGTCTTCATTAATACTGGTAAGCACCAGGTTTCGGAAATCAAGGGTACGGGTTTCCAGCATTCCCATTACCTGCAATCCGCTAAGCGGCTCCCCGCGTAAGTCAATGGTTTCGGTGGCGAGGAGTTCGCGGTAAAAGTGGTGAGCCGTTTTCAGGTCGGTGGCTACATCATGAGCCGTAAAAAGATTGGCCAGCTGCCGGAAGAGTTTGAAAAAGGAAAAGAGTATGTGTACGTTAAAGCTCCGGTCTTCCAGGCGCTCCTTTAGCCATTCGCAAAAGCGAGCTACGGCATTGCAAAATTGTTCGGGTTTTTGGCGGTAATCGGCAAAGAGGGCTTTTACCTCAGCAGGTAGTTGCTCCTCCGTCCACTGTTCCAGCTCAGCCGCAGCAATAAACACTTTATTCTGTTCACGGATCCGGGTGCGCCACCGTTCAATATGTTCAGGTTCCGGGTGAATACGCGCCCAAAGCGGATGCGCCAGCAGATCGTTCCACTTCTGGTGGTAAAAAGCAGGGTTCCCGTTACGGTCTTTTACCGCCTTGCTCTCATAATGCGTCTGCATCTCCCAGATAATACGGAAGAAACCGGAAATGGAAGCATTCTTCATGGGCAGCCCCATGGTTACATTGAGCTTTTCAATGGGCTCCGCCAGGTGGTTCAGAAAGGTTTGAAGCAGGCTCTCATCAGCCATTACCAGGGCAATGTCTTCCAGATTTCCATCCAGGTATTCTACAATGCTGGCGTTGGCGGTCATCATTTGCAGGGTATTGCCGGATACCGCCTTTACGGTAATCTTTTTGGGTTGCTGAGCCAGGTTGTCTTCCAGCCAATGCAGGCGATCATCTTCTTTAATGCGTTTCAGGAGCTTGCTTTGCCGCAGGAACTTGCCGGCTTCGTGCATTTCATCCTTATAGTAGTAACGGTCAATATCCCAGTAGAATTCCGCCAGATCCGCTTCATACAATTGCAGGAAGATGCTTTCCTCAGCCTGGTTAAGGGCGCTGAAACCAGCAAAGTAAAGCTGGCTGTAACGCTGCTGAATTTCAGGTATCTTGTCGGCCATACGCAACGCCATCTCACGATAGGCCAACCCTTGATATACCCGCTTTGCTTCCCTGAGTTGTGTGGTAAAGTTGTGGTAGAGGGCAGGCAGGTTTTCCCAAAAGTGCAGGTACTCCCGCACCATAGGGGTATCCGCGGTTTCACCGGGTGTAAGGTCCCACTGCTCTATCCGTTTTACATCCGCCAGGTAGCCAAAGAGGTCTTTGGCTTGTACCAGGTGGCGGTCCAGCTCATTAAAATCGGCCAGCAGCGTGGGCGCCCATTTTACAAAGTCGGAAAAGCTGTCTTTCTTTTCCAGCGGCAGCTCTTGATAATTATGGTACAGTTTAAAGATCAGGTTGGCATTTTCCTCCTGCTGCCATTCCAGGTTTTCCAGTAAAAAATCCTCTATGGTGGTGATGTGAGGCGCAAACATAGGGCGATCTATCAGCTTGCTCAGTTCCTTTTTAAGGAATACCGCAGCCCTGCGGCTGGGCATGATCACTGCCGTTTGAGGCAGGGCATTACCCTGCTCTATAAGTTTGTGTGCAAATTGCTGAAGAAAGGTTTGCATAAAGGCCCTGAACTTTGCCTTAAAAGTATAAAAGTTCAGGGCCTTTAGGCGGTCTTATTCAAATTTCTCGAAGCGGCTCAAAAAGCGGTTCATCTTACCCCGGGTACCGATGGTATAGGTAAAGGGTGGCTTACCTTTTACCTCTTCCCTGCGTTTTTTCAGATCCAGTTCTTTGATCAGGTCCATAAGCGGCTCTTCACTGGTGTAAAACACCAATTGGTTCCGTTTGTATTCAAAGTAGAAATAGGTGCTGCGGTCTACCTCCAGGTAGAGGTATACTTCATCGCCCCTGCGCTTGCGCTGGATCTCCATGAGGCCCTTCATCTTTTTGTTTACCGGGTATTTGCCCAGGGCGCCCACCCCAATATCACCACTGGACAGGAAGGATATGGCTTCCGGCACCCATTCCAGGGTTATATCGGTAAGTAAAACCGTATTCTCGTATTCATCAGGAAACTCTTCCGGGGCCCCGTAATTGGCAATGGCATCAAAGAATTTCTTTTTATCCTTGGGCTTCAGCAGCTCATCAGCCGACACCTGGAAAGCCTTGCGGTTGAGATCGGTTCCTTCCAGCAGGGTTACCTTATTAATGATGGAAGCCATCTCTTTGAGCACATCATCACTAAAGAAGAAATCCAAACCCAGCACCATGTCGAGCACCATATCGTCCGTTTCCAGATTGTAATCAATATTACCCCAGCTGTTGATGTTCATCTGGCTGCGGTCATCCCCAATGCTCATAGCGCCTTCACCGTGCATCTCGCAGGCTGTATTATTAAAGGACAGGTAGTTACCAGGGGCGGTTGGGTCGTCCAGTTTTTCTGCGTTTACGATAACGTAAGCACCAAGTGATTCTTCATAATAGAGCTTGCCATTGGCAAAGAACATTTCCTTATCTGCGGCTGACACACGCTTGCTGAGGAAGGCGGCATACCCACTGATGGTATCGGAAGCCAGAAATACCCCGTTATTCAGGTTTTTGGTCTTATCATCAGGATCTACGTAGGGCAAGTCAATGATAATATTATCCGGGTCTACAACAGACTCAAAATTAAACCAGTCTGTGGTAACAGCCTCGCAATTGGATTCAATGTGGGTGTAGCCGTCAAAGGCCAGTGCCTTTCTGTCGGCCTGCAAGCCTACCCGCCCGTAGTAGGCAAAATAGGGACTCATATAAAAACCGTCTTCTTGTTTTAGGTTGGCTTTACCCACCGTATTTCCGGCTGTATCTACTTTTATATTCTCAAAGTATATAGGCCAGGGTGTTCCATCCTGATCCAGGTATTCATAATCAGCCGAAGCCGTGTATTTTTTGCGGGAGGTAATATTGGCCACGGCTCCGTAAAACTTATGGAATTCGGTAGTGCGGTTAGCGGTAATAGCGGCATTGGTGAGCGTACGCATTTTCGCGTTCTGCTCAATTTCCACATAGCCGGTATCGGGGAATATGCTGGCGTCAGCCACGTTTATGTTGGGTACCTTAAAGGATTTGAGCAAGGAGCTTTCCAGGTAAAACTTGGTGTACCCGGCCTGGAAGCGCAGCGAATCCTGACGCGGGTGCACAGACACCATTTCTGAAGACGCTTCGGCTCCCTGTTTTTTCACGTCAACCGCTTTTTGCGGGATCTGCCATTGGGCATAGTCCATATAGCAGATGTATTTATTGGCGGGGAAGCTGAAGTAATCAGCCGGATCGTTCAGGTAAAAGTCTCCTTTTTCCTGGTCAAAGTTTACTTTACCCCGCGCGTTCTCCATACCAAAACCCCATTCGGCAGTTGGATTAGCCCTTACCCTGAAGGCCAGCTTATCCGATGAAAACTCGCGGTTCCGGAACAGGTAATCCTGCGAACGGGTTTCGGCCTCCAGGAATTCCAGCAAACCTCTTCCCTTTAAGGAATTTGGGCTGTGCGCCAGGGTACCACTGGCCC